CTGGGAGTCTCTCCCAGCACCTCAACCCCCACAAGTGTTTTCATTTGGTGCTTTTAGGCTTTATTTCCCATCACTGGGGCCCTGAGTTTTGCAGTCTCTCCCGCTGCCCATTTTCGCCTGGTTTATCTGCCCATGAATGTGTGTCTGCGGTTAGCCAGCTGCCTTGTGCTCCTCACTGGGTTGGATCTGCTCCTTTCCTCCCCAAGCTCGGGACTGCGAACCACTGCTTTTTCCTGCCTTGACCCCTCTCCGCCAGCCGCTGACTCTACCCCTCTTACCAGTCTGTATGAATGGTTCATTGTTGGACTTCCATACAGTTCGATTTTCTGTCTGTTCTGGTGTTTTTGTCTCTAAATCTTTGTTGTTCTTAAATTTGGTTGTGTAAGGAGGTACAGTATTTTCACCTATGCCTCCATCTTGGGCAGAAGTCTGAAACTGTTTTTAAGGTTCAATTTCAATAGCATCAAACAACATGAGATACTTTTATGTTGTATTTTATACTAGATATAAATTTAACAAAGATATATACATGGCTTCTACACTGAAAACTATATAACATTGTGAAAAGAATGTCAAAGATAAAATAAAATACAAAGATACAACTATGTTTATGGGTTATAAAATCAATATTGCTAAGATGTATATTCTCCCCCATATTAATTTGTAGATCCAACACAATCCCAATCAAAATTTGAACAGACTTCTTTTAGACATAGAAGAAAGTAATTCTAAAATCAATATGAACATTAAAATAATCTAAAATAGCCAAAATTACCTTGAAAAGGAAGAACAAATTTAAGTGACTCATACCACCTAATTTTAAAACTAATTATAAAGCTACGGTAAAGAAAACACATCCATCCAGCTGAGCCAACAGGTTGGTGCCATATCTGAGACTCCACAAACCTTGCTAGCACTGTTTGATTTGCCTTGCAGACTCCCAGAGATTCTGCCCCACCCAACTTACTGACCCACCCAAGCTGCTTTTCCATATGAATGGTTGGTCTTGGCTCCTGCTTCACAACGTCCTAAATCCTCTCAAACGAGCAACAGCTGGCCTCAGTGAGCCCCAGGCCTACCACTAGCATCAGCCACCAAGATTCACAGCTTGGCTTTGCCTGAGAGTCTCCAAGCCCAGCACAAGTAGCAGACCTCCCAGATTGCTCTATAGTGCATGGCCCCAGTCAAACCACAGGTGGGAACCCAGCTTGGCCTGAGCCACCTGGGAAATATCAGAGCCTGAATATCCCATAGACAGCTACAGACCATATCAGAGTACCAACACCCTGCCCCTGCACAGCTGATCCTCCACGGAAAGTGGAGGTTGGCACTAAGTGGTCACAGCCAATACTTGCAGCTTACTGGCCTGGGTAAATCCTTTCCACTGATCTGCCAGCAGCAACCAAGTCTCAACTATGACAGGGGAGAGTCCTCAGCCCACATAAAGTGTGCACCTCCAGTACCCGGCTTAAATAATAGGGGAAGCTGTGACACTGGACCCTATAGGACATCTACTACATTAAGCCACACTATCAAGACACAGAGTCAAAGCAGCTCTATTTAATATATAGAAACAAACACAGGGAGGCTGCCAAGACTAGGAGACAAAAAATGGCCTAAATGAAAAAACAGATCAAACTCCAGAAAAAAGAGCTAGATGTAATGGAGATAAGCAATCTATCAGATGCAGAGTTCAAAATACTGGTTATAAGGATACTCAAGGAATTAGTGAGAATCTCAACAGCATAAAAAAGACCCAGTTAGAAACAAAGGATACATTAATTGAAATAAAGAACAATTTATAGGGAATCAACAGAGGAGTAGATGAAGCCAAGAACCAAACCGATATTTGGAACATAAGGAAGCAAAAAATAACCAATCAGAACAAGAAGAAGAAAAAAGAGTCCAGAAAATTAAAGATAGTATAAGCAGCCTCTGGCACAACTTCGAGTTCTAACATTTGCATCATAGAGGTGCCAGAAGGAGAAGAGAAAGAGCAAAAAAACTGGAAATCTATTTGAAAAAAATAATGAAAGGAAACTTTCCTAATTTAGTGAAGGAAATAGACATGCAAGTCTGGGAAGCACAGAGAGTCCCAAACAAGATGGATGCAAAGAGGCCCAGTCCAAGACACACCATAATTAAAATGCCAGTGTTGAAAGATAAAGAGAGAATTTTAGGAGCAGCAAGAGAAAAGCACTTAGTTAACTACAGGGAGTTAGTTAACTATGGGAGTTCCCATAAGACTGTCAGCTGATTTCTCAAAACAAACTTTGCAGGCTTGAAGGGATTGGCAAGAAATATTCAAAGTCATGAAAAGTAGAGACCTATAGCCAAGATTGCTCTACCCGGCAAAGTTATAAATTGAAGGGCAGATGAAGAGCTTTCCAGATAAGAAAAAACTAAAGGAATTCATCATCATCAAACCATCATTATATGAAATATTAAAATAACTTATTTAAGAAAAAGAGGAATATTAAAACTATGAATAATGGGTGGAAGGGGATAATGGGGGGAGGGAGAAGGTTTGTCAGGAACATGTATAAAGAACACATGGACAAAGCCAAAGGGGAGTAGGATTGGGGGTGAGAGGTGGGGATGGTTGGGATTGTGGGGGGTGGGTAGTGATGGATGGGGAATGGAGACAACTGTACTTGAACAACAATTAAAAAAATTAAAAATAAAAAACAACTATGAACAAACAATGGAAAAAATTGATATATTAACAATTGAATCTGAAAAACAAACTAAGCAAACAGGAAGAACAGACAGAATCATGGATATGAAAAGCTTTTGATGGTTTCCAGTAGGAAGAGGGTATAGGAGAATAGGTGAAGAGGTGAGAGAATTAAGAAGTACAAATAGGTAGTTACAGAATAGCCATGAAGATATAAAGTATAGTATAGGAAATGGAGTAGACCAAGAATTTATGTACATGACCCATCTACATGAACAATGGTGGGGGGAGTGGGAAGTGCTGGGTGGAGGGAGGCAAAGGGGGAAAAATCAGGACAACTTAGTGATTATGCTGTAATAGAATAATCAATAAAATACCATTTAAAAAGAAAAATAGAACAAATTAAAAATAAAATACTGATAACGCCAAATTCTGACAAAGGTGTAGAAAAAATTGGAAGTTGTGCACTGCTAGTGCAAGTATTGTATAAAAAAACAACTTAGAAAAATTGTTTTGCCATTTTTATAAAAGCAAACATACATTTAGCATATGACCCATCAATTTCATTCTAGGTATTTATAAAGAGAAATGAAAACAGATGTCCACAAGAAGACTTGTTCAAGAATGTTTATAGCAACTTTATTTATTATAGCTCCAAACTAGAAATATCCCAGAGGCCCAGGAATAGGTGAATGTAAAAGCCAACAAGTGTATCCCCACCTTGGAGTACTGCTCAGCAGTGAAAGAAACATACTACTGATGTACTCAACAGCATAGATGGATCTTAGAGACATTATATTGAGCAAAAGAAGACAGACACAAAAGAGTGCACATTATAAGAATGAGCAAAACAAATCTATGGTGATAGAATTTAGAACAGAGTTTATCCATGGAGGGATGGGATGGGGACTGATTGGAAGGAAATTTTAGAGAATGCAAACATTACAATCTTGACTGGGGAAGTAATTACATGGCCGTATATATTTATCAAAACAAATGGAATGATACACTTAAGCTCTGTGCATTTTGCCATTTTATTCCATTTTTTTTAATAAGAAGGAAAAATTTAAAAGATGATCTCTAGTCCCGACACTCAAGCCAGCCCACCTTGGAGCCCAGGGCTCCCAAAGCCCATCTCTACCCTTGCTGGCTGCTGGCTGACCCATGACTACTATGAGGGAGGGAAACTGGAGAGAGCATCCTACTGAAGCAGAAAGAGCAGGAGAGCATTACCAGAGAACTGTTCATTTGGGTGTGGGCTAAAGTGAGTTTCCTATAGAAACTAACCATTTTTTTCCATCCCTCTCCCCCATGTCCCTTCCAATATCTTACTCCAAATTCCAAAGTGGAAGAAAAGCCAGAAAGAGTGAAGGGATTAAGAACAGCTCCTGAGCCAACTAAGGCATGTGGCTTTCCCAAAGACACATGTGAACCAGACAATTCATAAAACTTCAGAGCCCAGAGAAAATCCTGCTGCTCCCTGGACCCACTCCCATCTGTTTAAAACACCCTCACAACCTCACAGCAACCATATGCAAAAGATGCTATTGTTAACCCCAATTTGCAAATGAGATCACTGATGCTTAGAAAAGCATTACTTACCCCAGTGAATTACTTACCCCAGAACACACAGCTTAAATCCAGATCTGTCTGATGCCCAGCCCATGCCCTCAGCCACTGTATACACTTCCCTGATGCTCTAATTTATGAAAACTCAACTGAAACCTGAAAGTTTACAGCATTGAAAGGAAAAAGGAGTTGTAAAGGGGGCTACACCCTGGGAGGAGTTTAGGGGACAGATGGTGACCCCATTCCCTGTCAGCTATAGTCAATAGAGGGGAGGGTTGTAGGTGGGCTGGACACATGATCTCCTGAAGCTTTTAGCACCACCTAGGTCCCCTCCAACTGTATAAATATTCAACTGTGCTCCCATATGCAGCCTGGAGTCACTGTCCAATACAGGAGTCACTAACCATATTGGCTATCTCAATTTAAATGTCTCTTAAATAAAGTTTGAAAATTCATTTCCTCACTTGCACATATTCAAACTCTGTAACCATATGTGCCTGGTGGACCCTTCATGAGACAGCACAGGTCTAGCCCTTGGTCCTCCAGTCAGGCCACCACCCCAAGGGCTATGATTTGCTGGGCCTATGGTGACTCTGCCTGTGGTGTCCACATGATGATGCATGCTGGGGCCAGTCAGGGAAGAGAGAAGTAAAGGGAGTGACACAGAGCTGATGAAACCCCAAGGGTGGTAGGTAAGGAGGTGGAGGGCATGGTCAGGCACTCTCCAGCAAATGTCCTTTCTTTTCCCTTTCAGAAGAGAGTTCTTTTCCTGACCAATGACTACTTCTTCACAGACATCAGTGACACACCTTTTAGGTGAGGGACACATGTTTTACTTGCAAAGTGGAAGGATGGGTGGAACATGAATACCAACAACACAGGTTAGAAATTTCAGGTCTGGAGATGGATTTACTCAAAGTTGGTTGGCAATTTTGTGGTAACAGAAAAAGACCCAGCTCTACATTCAGGAAACTTGAGATGTCTAGACCTGCATTGCCAGTGTAGCCTAGTGTGCAGTCTGGAAGTCTGGAACCAGACTGCCTGGGTTTAAATTCTGCCTTCACCACTTACAGGTTGTATGACCTTTGTCAAATTAACTTAACCTCTCTGTACCTTAGATTCCTCATCTGTAAAATGAAGGTAGTAATAGTAGCTACTTTTTGGCAGTATTATGAGGATTGAATGACATAATCAAAGGTCTTAATGCATACAATTGTAAGCAATTGTTAGATGAAAGATCGTATCTGAAGATATTCTCAGTTCCCTCCAACTGTATAAATATTTAACTCCAGGCAATATATATATTTTGGGAGACAAATAGCCCTTGTCTCTGAATTATCTCATTTCTCAATAAAGCATCATTGCCAGCCCTGACTCATTAGGGTCCTATCTCATTAGAATACCTAAAGAATTTTATAAAATTGCCAATGTCCAGATCCATCCAAACCAATTTACTCGAAATTCTTTTATGGAGTCCAGGCACTAGTACCTTTTAAAACTCCCTGAGTGGTTCAAAATTTGGCCAAGTTCCAAAAGCAATGTTCTACCATGAGAGAGGAAGGCACATGGAATTCACCAGGGGGGGGAAACATTTTCCTATTTGTGAGGCCCTGTGAGGCCTAGGGACCTTTCTACATTTCAGAGGGTTCCTGAGAGGTTCAGGATATATCTTAATTAAAATGAGAGCTGAGGGGCCCTGGCCAGGTGGCTCAATTGGATAGAGCATTGTCCCAATACTGCAAGGTTGTGGGTTCTATCCCTGGTCAGGACACATACAAGACTCAACCAATGAATATGTAAATAAGTGAAACAACGAATCAGTCTCTCTCTCTCTCTCAAAAGAAATAAATAAAAATGGGACAACCTGTGAGGCCAGGGGCAAAGGGAGTCACTTTCCATGGGTATGGAGAACTCCTGGTCTTAGAGGTAGTGAAGGGCAGGACATGGACTGGAATGCTGACTTGGACTTGCTGTTTGATGAGAACATGGGTTCTGTGCTCTCCCCACAGTTTGGGAGTGGTGCTGTCCCAGGGCCATGGAGAATACATCCTTCTGGGGAACACATCTGTAGAAGAAGGTAGGTCAGCGCCCAGTAAGTTGGACACTAGAGGGAAAAAATGGATGTCCCTGGGATGCTGAGCAGAGCCAACTCAACCCAGATCTTATTTGACAGCCTCCAATGTCTTAGGCTTGAGAGCAGGGTCTCAGAGCTGGACTGCCAGACAGGGAGGGGTCTGTGTGTCTCCAGCATCCTGGGGGTGTGGGATCTGCCAGTCAGCAGTGCAAACCGACAGGGTCTAAGACTCACCAACCTTGCATTGTCAGGAGGCTTTGTTGGACCAGAGGGGTGGGCCTCAAGGGTATGTGTTTCTCTGAATAAAGTTGGATTTTACCTGTTAGAGGACATGAGAAAGGAGGCTGGGAAGAGTGAGGAAGCAAATCTGTAACAGTCTGCTCAGGCTGCTGTAACAAAGCATCACACACTGGGTGTCCTAACAATAGAACCTCATTCTCTCACAGCTCTGGAGGCCAGGCACCCTCCAACAGCTCTCCTAGCTCCTGGTCACACCAAGCATTCCTTAGCTCACACGGCAGCTCTTCAATCTGCCCTCCATCATCACATGGCTTCACCTCTTGAGTGTGTCTTTTCCCTTTTCACAAGGACACCAGGAATCTTGGATTAGGGGCCACTAATGACCTCATCTTAACTTGATTATATCTGCTGAGACCCTATTTCCATATCAGGTCACATTCACAGGTACTGGGGGTTAAGACTTCAACATATTATTTTCGGGGATACATCCAACCCATAACAAGGAACTTATGGGAACTGAACCTGAAAAAATGGAAGAGGCGGGCCTCATCCTCCCTGATGCTGCCTGCTCAGACCTGAGCTCCTTGAGAAAGCAAAACCTGTATCCAGGACTCCTGGATATTTTAGGAAGTCCTTGGGAGATGTCAGAAATCCATTCAAACCCACATTCTGTCTATTCTCCCTTCACCATCTCTTCAGTGTATCTAACTATCTTCCACTGCCCTCGTCACTGTCACCTCTCTCCTAGAAAACCACAGTAGCCTCCAGCTGGTCTCCTTGCCTCTTCCTTTCTTTGGACTTCTTTCTGCCACAGGGAAGTTTCTAAAACTGCCAAACTGGGTTGTGTTGCTACTACAGGACCTTCAATAGCCTTCTGCTTTTTTTTCAGTGCTCTACACACTAAGCTTCAGGGTCTTCCCATACACTGTGCTCTCCCCCAAAATACTATCCTCTCCAGCTCTCACACTTTTATCCCATCTAACTTGCACTCACTCCTCAGGCCCCAGTGTACATACCACTCTTCTGGGAGCAGTCCCGGGCAGACCCCTTCCCCCACTGAGGCCAGTTACATGTCCAGCTATGTGCTCCCATGTCCTCTGCTTTTACCCTTTTGCAGCACATATCTGTGACACTGGAACACTCCACTTTAACTTTCCACTGGTCCCAAAACAAACTTCCTGGGTCTCCATGGTGTCTTCCTCCTTCCTCTGCTTTTCTTCCTCTATCCAGATATCCCCATCTTCACTGCTGCAGGGGATAGAAGATGCTACCCCTCACCCACTTTGTGGGAGAGACCAGCCATCATCCCAGTGACTTGAAATCAGGGGCTCAACTGGGCTTATGGGGCTTACCACAGGGAAAGGAGTGTCACCCTTTCACTGCCTGCCTGTGTCTGTGCCAGTCCAGGACTTCCTTTGCCACCTTGGCATGTCCATCATCCTTACCTTCAATTTAGCAAACCTTAATTTGAGCACCTGTTTATTTTAAACACTGAAGGTGCTCAGTGGGGGGTTTCTCATTCATTCGCTCAAACAATGTACTCAGACCATGGTCAGTGTCAGTGTTGTGGTGGGTATGAGATTATAGAGATTACACAAAACAGACCTGGCCCCTCCCTGGGCTCATCTTTTGACTGGCCATTTAGCTCAGTCTAGTATGATGAAGCTGAAATCACTAGTTTGGAGGCTGACCTAACAGGTAGGATAGCCATGAGGCAATGGGGAGAAAGGGCATTTCAGGAGCGGAAGCAACATGAACAAAGGTGTGGTCTGTGCAAACCCAGGCCAGTCCTGCAGGATGAGTGCCTACTCTGAGCTGAAGAAGATTCCTTGCACTTGTTTGTAAAGAATTCAGGTGCAATACTCACACCAGGGTGAGCACCATACTGAGAGTGCGCTCTGGTTTCAGGCCTACACGACCTTCTGCATCCAGATCTGACCCTGGCCAGTGACTGGTAAGTGGAAACCTCTGCACAAAGGAGGTGGAGTGAGAGAGGGAGGGAGGAAGGAAGGAAGGGAGGCAAAGGTTTGTGAGGTGACTTTGACTCCCCTGGGTTCCAGGATCTACTGTATCACAGATATTGACCCAGACCACCAGAAGCTCAGCCAGCTGGAGGCCATGGTCCACTTTCTGACAGGACAGGACACAGATCTGGAGTGTGAGTGCTGCCCACCCACTAAGGGCTTCCCTCTGGGACCCTGCAGATCAGGACTTTGCATGAAGGGAGGGCTGGGAGGGGAAGGAAGGGCTGTCATGTAGGTCTATCCTAGGAACTCACTGATGGTTTAGGGAGGACAGAGAGAATTCCAAAGACAAAAGCAGAGCCAGCATCATCATAGGGCCAAGCTGGTGACTAAGTATCCCTAGAACTGTGGCACACAGGCATATCCCCATAGTCAGGGACTGGGATCTCTGTAAACATCTCTCACCTGAGTACTGTTAAGGTCTTGAAGGGATACTCACACAGTGTAAGGGCATTACCCTGGCCATCTGATCTGTCCCCATCACCACCTTGTGGTGGGCTCCCAGGCCAGCAGCTCACCTTTGAAGTCCAACCCTGCAGAGGAGGGCATTTGACTAGACAGCCTCTTACAGCCTGTGGTCTATGAGTGTTTTCTAACACCTGGTTCTCAGTCTGACCTTAAATTTCCCTCCACTAACTCAACCAGGGTAATTATGGGGCCACAACCTCATTGTGGTGCTTCTTCTCTCTCTTTGGGAGAAGAAGCAGGTCATTTTGTCATGTAAGTATCACCACCAAGAGAAGGCTCCACCTTCCATGTAGTCCGAACATTCATTCCATTAACAAATATGCACTGAGTATGTCCTCTTTACCAAGCCTGGGGCAGGCACTGGAGTACAGAGATGACCCAACCAGGCAAAGCCTTTGCTCTCATGGAGTTTGTAATCTAATCTCATGGGGAAACCATGCAATGAAGAAGCAAGCCCACATGTGTAGGAATAGGTTGTTACAGATTGTGCTGAACAGGAAAACATGGGCCCTGCTTTAAATGGATGGTCAGGGGAGGCCACCTCGGTCAGCCAGTGCCACTTCCCACCTAAGTGGCTTCAAGGGTATAGGACCTCCTTCAGTGGTGATGAAGATGTTCACAGAAGTGAAGGCTGTGCATCACTGTGAATGTACGAGATGCCACTGAATTATATACTTTAAATTGGTTTATTTTATTTATGTGAATTTCACCTCAATAAAAATAAATACTTTAGTAGTCTTCTCTCCCCTAGACTACTTTAAAGATAGTGAGGGGAAAAGAACGAGCCACCCATGCAAAGAATGGAGAGAAGAGCATCCTGACCAAGGGAAAAGCGTATGCAGAAGCTCTGAGTCAAGTTCAAATTCACAGAACTGCAAAAGGCCAACATGTGTGAGGCCAAGTATCAAGGAGCAGAGCAATGAAAGTTCAGATGGAGGGTGAGCTGGGCACAAATGGAAGTCAGTTGTTGCTGAGGGATTCTCCTAATTTCACAGAATATTAGAACTAGAAAGAGCCTTAGAAATCATTTTGTTCTACTCGCATGCTCTTTGAAGTTGAGGAAATGAAGGCTAGAAGAGGTGAAGTGACTTCCTCAAATTCATGTAATGGTTTTACATATTCTAGATACATGTTTATGAGGCACATCTTGTTCCTTGAAGTTCAAAAAGAACATATGAGTTGTGCTTATAATCATGGGGAAAATAAGTGGACTGGTCTCCTTTGATTGTGTACCCAGGTGATGAGGAGCTGGTGCGGGAGGTACTGTTTGATGCAGTGGTGACGGCTCCCATGGAAGCCTACTGGACAGCACTGGCTCTCAACAGCTCAGAGTATGTATCAGTGGGGCTGAAGGATCCTGGAAGAAAGAGAGATTCTGGTCCCTGGCATTCCCTTGGCTGAACCAGGGTCCCACCCATCAGCTGGCTGGCAGCCCAGGAGGTCACCCACATCCTTTGGCCTAAGATGAACAGTGATGAGGGTGCAAAGATGTGAGGAAGTGATAGCAACATGCACCCAGCCCCAGTGAAAGCAGGGGTTCAGTAAAGCTTCTGCACACTGCATGGGCCACCACCTCCCCTTGGAAGAATCACCCTGAGCAGATGCCCTAGTCATAGGACCAAATCCCCCAACCCATACCGCAGAAGCCCCATTCTAAGAACCCCTCTCTGGGGGTTGGGCTCTTGCTGTGAGAGCCCACCAGCCAAAGTGCCTTGAGAGCAGTTCAAGCAGATCAGTGCCTTGTCTCCAGCAGGTGAGGTCAAGACACCAGGAAGTGTATTTGACCCTTGGTATGTCCCAGTGCCTTAGATTTCCTCACTGCCTCTGCTGATCTTTACCTGGTGCTATTGTGTTTAGTAGACAGATAGAAGAGATGTATGGCTTGTGTGTGGGGGTGTGTGCATGCATGCATGTGTGTGCACATGTGCATACATTAGCACATGAGTATTTGGAAGGAGTGAGATATTAATGAGGTTAAGAGTACAGTGGGCCACCCCTTGTTCCTGAATAGAAAGATTTAACATCAGCATCATAAAGATGCCCAACCTCCCCTAGACACTTGATAAATTAATTAATACTATCCTAATGAAAACAGTAACAGAATTATGTAGGAATAATTACCTACTTTTAAAAAAGCAAGATGCAGAATACTTTGCATAGTGTGCTAACACTTCTATAAAAAGAAGGAAAAACATGGTATGAGTGTGTGCATTTACAAGGTGGGGCAAAACAGTTGTTTGTATGGAAAATAATACAGTAATTAATAAATAATAATATAATAAACTCTGTTTCATGTACTCACAACTGTAAACCTACATATTCCCCAGCCTGTATATGAGATACCTATGAAAGCCTGTTCTCATGGTTGCAAAAGGCAAGAAAAATGGGTAACTGAAACAGGGATGGAAGGAACACTTTATAACTTTTTGGTATAATTTTGAACCATGTGAATGTATTACCTACGCAAAATTAAATAAACTAAAAACAAACAAAAAAAGAATGCACTGGGTCAGGCACTATTCTTAGCACTTGGTGCATATCACATTGATTCTCACAAACACCCTACTATCATTATAGGTACTATCATTATCCCCACTTTACAGATGAGGAAACTAAGACAGAGTGAGATAAGAAACTTGCCCAAGACCATGTGCTTCACATATGGTGGAGCTGGACTCAAAATCAGGAAACCTGATTCCAGAGCCTCTAGACTCTTGGTTTCTGCACTGTCCTGATTTCTACAGAAGGGTTGGAGAGAAGAGGCATGATCCACATCTTTCCAATTTCAGAGATTAGCCAGACATGTTTTTAGTATTGAGAACCATTGAGGAACAAATATTCTTAACAAGGGTGTATATTAGAAAAGATGACTTAGAGAACTAATATAAATAGCATATTAATAAAGCTAAGAAGAAAAATCATATATTCACTCCCATAGACACAGAAAAGATTTTAACAAATTCTAATATCCATTTGTGTTTTTAAAAACCACTCAATAAAATTAAAATTGACTTAAGCTAGAAAGTCAGTATCTGAATGGGACTAGAGGCTCTCTCGATAAAGACAGAGGAAAAAAGACAAGCCTAGTGTCCCTACTACCATTTAGTAAGGTCAGAAGCCATTCATTGGTGCAACCAGATAAAAGGACGCACCTAGAAGAAACAAAAAGTGAAGAGGAAGAAGCAAATGATCTTTGTTTAAGATGATGTATTTATACATCTGGAAGCCCCCCAAAGTTAACAGAAAATCTACTATAAACAGTAAGAGAATTTAGTAGAGTAGCAATTTATAACATGCACACTGAAAAATTAATAGTCTTTATCTATACAAACAAAAACCAGATAGAAGATGTGATGTGAGAAGACCTATGTAGGAGAGCAAAATATAAAATATAACAAAATGCCTTGTCATAAATTGTAAGAAATATCCCAAAATTTACATTAAAAATTATAAAGCATTCCTGAACAATGAAAAGTAGACTTGAATAAATGGAAATATACCCAATGTTTTTAGATAGGAAGACTCAATATCACAAAAATTTTAATCCTCTGTAAGTTAATGTTATAAATTTAATGCAATCCCAATAAAAAAAATGCCATTAAAAGCCCTGGCTAGTGTTGCTCAGTTGGTTGGAGCATTGTCCCATAATCCCCAAGGTCTCAGGTTTTATTGCCTATCAGGGCACATGCCTAGGTTGTAAGTTCAGTCCCCAGTCAGGGTGTGCACAGGAGGCAGGCAGTTGATGTTTCATTTTCACATCTATGTTTCTCTGCCCCTCTATTTCCCTCCCTTCCCTTCACTCTAAAATCAACAAGCATGTCTTAAGATGAGGAAAAAAGAGGAAAGAAAAAAGAAGAAAGAAGAAAAGAAGGAAGGAGGAGGGAGCAATGGAGGGAGAAAAGAAGGAAGAAAGGAAGGAAGGAAGGAAGGAAGGAAGGAAGGAAGGAAGGAAGGAAGAGAGGAAGGGAGGAAGGAAGAGAGGAAGGGAGGAAGGAAAGAAGGAAAGAAAGGAGGTCTAACCAACATATTAAAATACATTACAAAGTCTATACCATGTATAAATTGTGGTCAATACTCATGAATAGACAGGCAGACCAAGGGAAGAGAATAGAAAATCCACAAAGTCACCTAAGTGCATGCGGAAATTTAGTCTATGACAAAGTCATCATGTCAAGTGAGTAAGGGAAACGTGGACTTTTTAATAACTGGTTTGAGAGCCATATGGAGAATGATAAAATTATATTCTTTCCTCATACCATAGAGCTGGGTAAAGTTCAAATGAGTCAGAGAATTAAATGTAAAAAAATGAAACCATATGAGTACTAAAAGGAAACATGAGCCAGGTCCTATAAAATCTAGGAGTGAGGAAATCTTTCCCAATGATGACTCAAAATCAGAAACAATAGGGAATGACTGATTAATTTAACAACATAAAAGTATTTATTTAGCAAATTAAAAACATGAGCAAAGTCGAAAGAGAAATGACAAATCAGAAAAAAATGTTTTCAACTTGTAAGACAAATAAAAGCTTATTATCCCTATATTATGTTTTCATGGTACATAAAGAACTTCAAAAGCAGAGAAGTAGAAGACTAACCACTCTACAGGAAAAATGACCAATAGATATGGACCAAGAGGATACATGCAAAGAGTCCTGAAATATATGAAAAAGTTCTCAATACATTTTGTAAAAAAAAAAAAAAAAGGAATGCAATTCAAACTGCACCAAGGTTGTATTTGTCACTTAAACTAATAACCATCTAAGTTTGTTGATGTGCATGGTTGACCAGCTGTGGGGAATCAGGCAATCTAGTACATTGTCAGTGGGAATATAAAACATTTCAAAGTTTATGGAGGGGAATTGGGCAATATTTTTAAAAAGTACACACTGTATGTTATACTTTGACCCAGCAATCCTACTTCTAGGACTGTATCCCAAAAATATATGAGAAAAAATAGGAAAAGATATACACATAAGCTATTCAGTACAGTATAACTTATAAGAGCAGATGATTGAAAATAACCTAAATGGCCATCTGTAGGAGCCTAGTCAAATAGATCATGGTAGATCCACATATTGGAATACTATATAGCTATAAGAAAATGAGAATTGTCTCATAGCAGTCAGACAAGAACATAGTCAAATGCATCCAAATTGGAAAAGAAGAAATAAAACAATCATTATTCACAGATGACATGGTACTACCTATAGAGCCCTTAATATTCCACCAAAAAAAAAAAAACTATGAGAACTCATAAATGAATCCAGTAAAGTTGCAGGATACAAAATTACTATTCAGAAATCAGTTGTATTTCATACACTAATAACAAACTATCAAAAAAAAGAAATTAAGAAACAATGCCATTTATAGTTGCATCAAAAAGAATAAAATACTTACAAGCAGATAAACTGAGAAGAACAACTGGGGAGTGAGACAGACCATGCAACCCAGGGTCCCAGCATGGAGAAATAAAGCCTCAAAACTTCTGACTGTAAAAACCTGTGGGAACTACAGCAGGGAGAGAAACTTCTAGCCTCACAGGAGAGTTCATTGGATAGATCCACAGGATCTAGAACATACACAAACCCGCACACCCAGGAATCAGCACCAGAAGGACTCAATTTGCTTGTGGGTAACAGAGAAAGTAACTGAAAGCTGGCTGAGAACTAAGCAAGCAGCATTGTTCTCTCTCTGACCCCTCCCCTACATACAGCACCACAACACAGAAACACGGGTTGCCCACCCTAGTGAATACCTAAGGTTCCACCCCTTACAAAGTAGCAGGTGTGCCAAGACAGAGAAATATGAACCAAATGAAAGAACAGATCAAAACTCCAGAAAAAATACAACTAAGCGATGAAGAGATAGCCAACCTATCAGGTGCACAGTTCAAAACACTGGTGATCAGGATGCTCACAGAAATGGTTGAGTATGATCACAAAACATAGGAAAAGTGAAGGCTATCCAAAGTGAAATAAAGGAAAATGTACAGGGAATCAATAGTGATGGGAAGGAAACTGGGACTCAAATCAACGGAGTGGACCAGAAAGAAGAAAAAAACAACCAAACAGAAAAGAATGAAGAAACAAGAATTCAAAAGAATGAAGAGAGGCTTAGGAACCTCCAGGACATTTTTAAACATTCCAACATCCGAATTATAGGGGTAGCAGAAGGAGAAAGGAAGGAAAACAAGTGAAAAAGTTATTTGAACAAATAATGAAGAACTTCCCCATTCTGGCGAAGGAAATAGACTTCCAGGAAGTCCAGGAAGCTCAGAGAGTCCCAAAGAAGTTGGGCCCCAGGAGGAACACACCAAGGCACGTCATCATTACATTAGCCAAGATTAAAATTAAGGAGAGAATCCTAGAAGCAGCATGAGAAAAGGGGACAGTTACCTACAAGGGGGTTCCCATCAGACTGTCAGCTGATTTCTCAAAAGAAACCTTACAGTCAAAGAAGGGGCTGGAGAGAAGTATTCTGAGTCATGAAATGCAAGGACCTACATCCAAGATTGCTCTATCCAGCAAAGCTTTCATTTAGAATGGAAGGATGGATAAAGCGCTTCTCAGCTAAGGTCAAATTCAAGGAGTTCATCATCACCAAGCCCTTATTATATGAAATTTTCAAGGGATTTATCTAAGAAAAAGAAGATAAAAATATGAACAGTAAAATGACAGCAAACTCACAATCATTAACAACCATAGCTAAAACAAAAAGAAAAGCACACTAAGGAAACAACTAGAACAGGAATGGAACCACGGAAATCGAGATCACATGGAGGGCTATCAACAGGAGGGGAAGAGGGAGAGAGTGAGGAAAGGTACAGAGAATAAGTAGCATAGATGGTAGGTAGAAAATAGAAAAGTGGAGGGTAAGAATAGTATAGGAAACCAAAGAAGTTATATGTATGACCCATGGACATGAACTAAAGGGGTGGGAAATGGAACAACTGCAATAGCATAATCAATAAAATATGTATTAAAAAAAGAAAAGAAAAGTCATCCAAATTGGAAAGAAAGAAGTAAAACTTTCTATTTGCAGATGACATGGTATTGTATTTAGAAACCCCTAAAGACTTCACACACACACACACACACACACACACACAGTTAGAACTAATAAAACAAATTCAGTAAAGTTGCAGAATACAATATCAATATGCCAAAATCAGTTATTTTCTACACTAATAACAAACTATCAGAAAGAGAAGTTGAGAAAACAATTTCATTTACAATGACATCAAAAGAATAAAATACTTAAGAACAAATTTTACCAAGGAGGTAAAAAACCTGTACACTGAAAACTATAAAATATTAAAGAAGGAAATTTTAAAAGACACAAATAAATATAAAGATATTCCATGCCCATGGACTGGAATGATTTATATTGTTAAAATGCCCATACTAGCCAGAGCAATCTAAAGAGTCAATGGAGGCCCTGGCTGGTGTAGCTCAGTGGATTGAGCATGGGCCTGTGAAGCAAAGGATCGGGGTTCGATTCCCAGTCAGGGCACATACCTGGGTTGCAGGCCAGTTCCCAGCAGGGGACACATGAGAGGCAACCATACATTGATATTTCTCTCCCTCTCTCCTTCCCTTCCCTCTAAAGATAAATAAAATCTTTTAAAAAAAATTTTTAAAGAGTCAGTGCAGTATCTATCAAAGTTCCAAGGGCATTTTCACAGAAATAAAACAAACAATCTTAGGCCCTGGCTGGTGTGGCTCGGTGGATTGAGCGCGGGCCTGCGAACCAAAGGATCGTGGTTCGATTCCCGGTCAGGGCACATGCCTGGATTGCAGGCCGGGTCCCCAGTGGGGGACACATGAGAGGCAACCACACATTGATGTTTCTCTCCCACTCTTTCTCCTTCCTGTTCCCTGTGTCTAAAAATAAATAAATAAAATATTTAAAAAACAAACAAACAATCTTAAAATTTGTATGAAACAACAAAAGACCCCAAATAGCCACAGCAACTTTAAGAAAGAACAAAACCAGAGGCATTTCATTTCCTGATTTCAAACTATATTATAAAGCTACAGTAATCAAAACAGTGTGATATTAGCATACAAACAAACACATAAATCAATGGGACAGGATAAAGAGCCCCAAAATAAACCCACGTATATAATTTATGACAAAAGAGCCAAGAATATACAATGGGGAACAGATGGACTCTCCAAAAAATGGTGTTAGGAAAACTAGACAGCCATAGGCAAAAAAATGAAACTCAATCATTATCTTACATCAATCACAAAAATCAGCTCAACATGTATTAAACATTTTGAACATAACACTTGAAACCATAAAACTCTAAGAAGAAAACATAGGGGATAAGTTCCTTGACATCAATCTTGGCAAAGATTTTTTAGATTTGACATCAAAAGGAAAGGAAGCTAAAACAAAAATAAACAAGTGGAACTACATGCAACTAAAAGGAACAATCACATGAAAAGGCAACCTATGGAATGGAGAAAAATATTTGCAAATCACTTATCTGATAAGGGGTTGATATGCAAAATAAAGAATTCACAGTTCAATAGCAAAAACAAAAAAAAGATTTTTCTTAAGGACAGAAGATCTGAATAAACATCTTCCCAAAGGAGACATATAATGGCCAGCAGGTACATGAAAAAATGTTCAACATTGCTAATCATTGGAGAGAAGCAAATCAAAACCACATGAGATATTTATTACCTCACACCTGTCAGAATGTCATAAAAAAGACAAGTGATAACAAGAGTTAGCACTGATAATAGTGTGGATCCTGAGAAAAATTTCTCCTGGTGGCAAACTGGGCTCAAATTAAAACCTAAACAAAACAGCCTAGCAGCTAACTGACATATGCCAGACACGTGCAATTTAAAAAAAAAAAAAAAGTGAAATACAATCAGAGCTACCAAGTGGTTGCTGTGTGGTGGGAAAATGGGCTGAGTTAGTAAAAGGGCACAGGTGTTTGTTTAGTTATGAGATGACTAAGGTCTGAGGTTCTGACGTAAAACATGATGACTGTAGTGCTAATGCTGTACTGTGTCATTGAAATTTGCTAAGAGAGCAGAGTTCAAATGTTCTCACACACAGGAAGACAAATATGTGAGGTGATAAATATGTGAGGTTACTTAACTGGGAGGGGGAAGCCTCTCACAATGCAGATGTATATCAAACCAAGACAATGTACACTTAAAATATCTTATAATTTTATGTCAATTACACCTCAATAAAGCGGAAATTTAAAAAAACAGAAAGAGATGATGACTACCACCCTGGAGCATTACCATAACAATATGTCTTTGAGACCATGAAAAAAATTGATTGTGCATCGGCTGGCTAATGGATTTTTTTCAGATCTATTGGCAAGGTTATAAATTCCAGCAGGATTGCTTATGTCAGTGTCAACAGTGTGAGTATGCAAAAAGAGCTCACGTGTGAGGTGCTGGGTATGCGCTGGTCATGAGAAGCCACTATTCCTTAGGTCCCAAGACAAAAATCTCTTCCTGAATCTCCCAAAAGCTGAGTGGACAGATCAGGAGCTAGCGCTGAAGAAGCAAAAAAGCATAGGATAAGGGGACCCCATTAACAAAGAGGGTGCTGCCCAGCAAAGCCCCACCCCCAGTCAGATGGTCAGGTGCTAGAGGGCCTTTGGGGTCTTCCCTTCTCCATGTGCCCTCCTCCTGAACCTGCCACTGTGCTGCATGGTGGTGACACCTGCTCTGTCTGCCTCACAGGGACTACCAGCATGTGGCAGACACGGCCTTCCTAGGGACCCGGGCTGGCCTCCTCAGAAGCAGCTTATTTGTGGGCTCTGAGAAGATCTCCAATAAGTAAGTCTGCTGGGTGGGGCAGGCAGGGAGAGGACTCCTGGAATGCAAGGAGCCTGGAAGAGCTGGGGTTTGCAGAGTGGGAGGGTCAGAAAGTTAACCTTTCCAGCCAGGCTTAGACTCACCCCGGAGGTATCCCTAGAAGGGAGGGCAGCCCAGTCTGTCAAGAGAGACCGAGAGACCTTGATGTTCGGAGGGTTAGTCAGAGGTTCGCTTCCACAGAGGGAAACCCAGAAATTGTTTTCCCGCAGGGGCAGGTCTCTACATGACAGCCTAAATCTTCTGGCTGAAATCCATCATTTCTTGGCATCCCCCCTTCCCCTAAGTCTGAAGTTCTTACCTGGGGGTGATTTATACCCACCCAGGGGCATTGAGCAATGTCTGGAGACATTTTTGGTTGTAGAAACTAGAGGAGGGGTGCTTATACTGGCACTTAGTGGGCAGAAACCAGGGATGCTGCTAACCATCAGATGGCACCCAAGACAGCTCCTGACAACACCTAGCATTGAGACTGAGAAAGCCCGCTCCAAGCAAAGCCTGCTTCCAGGAGAGTCCTGCTATGCCCAGGGCCCAGCCAGCCCTGTGTCCTCCCCACTGAGTACTGCAGCAAGGGGTGAGTGGGAGCTCAGAGGAGCATCAGGAAGGGGAGGGGTAAGCAGAGCTACCTGTGCTCTGCAAACCATGACACTGAAATAGGTTAGGCAGGGCCACTAGGCATCTAGAGGAGAAGAACTGAGGGGGCTCCCAAACAGACTTGAGCCCACGGTCCTCACCTCCCACCCACTGACCATTTCTCCCACTAAATCCAAGAGCACTTAGCAATGGAGAGCCATCTTTGAGCTTCTTCCAAGACTCTGGGACAGATCCGCGCTTGCTAGAAAGCCGAGTCTTTCTAGGAAAACCAATGGAGTTGCTCTCCCCTCTCCTCACCTCCCCTCATTCCCTCAGAAGTGGAAACAGAGAATCTTGCTTCCTTGCTACCCTTTCCCAGGGCCCTGTCAGAGACCAGCAAAGAGCTCAGATAGCTGGTCTGATAGGGACTGGACTGATAGGGAACTGTGGGTGTGCCCTGAGGCCCTGACCAGTGTGGAAACTTTCCTACCCAAGCTCACTACCCACTCGTACCTCCTCACCCCCTTAAACTGTACTCCAATCAGAAAACACACATGTTTTTGTTGAGCCAAGGTTGGACAAGTGCACCACGCCTGACAGTGCAAAGGAAGAAAGAATCTCGGTATTCCCCTGTGCCCTCTCTCTCTAAAAGACTTCTGAAAATGGAAGAGGGAAGCCTCAGATAGACAGGCCCAGCAACTGTGAACAGCCTCACATGCCCTGCACAGCTCCCCTCCCCTAAATTGTGATGCAACTGGCAGCCCGGAAACTGTGCAAAGAGGCAGGTCTGCTTCTGGAACATGTACACCAACCAGTCTTAAAATCCCACCTTAACCATCCACTTTATGGGTTATCCGCAGTAATGTTTCTAATCCCCACCAGCTTCTCCCTGCCTCCTACTCTGCTTCTGGACCAACACTCTCTTCTGCCAGCTGCTGTGTGTTCAGGGAATGCAAAACCATAATTAGCAAGATAAAGCTGCCCCAAAAGAGAAAACTCATGATGCATTCTAAAACCTAGAGGCAATGGCTTTGAAGTAACCACTTGGGGGAATTTATGCTCCTGTATTAGCCTCAGTGGTGGAGGTGACTATACAGTTTCCTCACTCAGACATGCCAATCAGCCAGACAAGAAGAAATGAGGCCATATCCAAAAGAAAGAACCTTGCAGGCCAAGCCATTTACATAAGAATGGAAAGTATTCTTTCAAAATACAAGCCTCATACCTTTTCTAGCTACTAATGTGCCATCAGATGTAATGACATTTGACTCTGGAAGAGCCAGAAATAGCTGGGGACACTGTCTGGGGCACCACCAACTAAGAGCTCATATTTTGTACCTGCAAGTCCACCAAAGCAGAAGGGAATCACTCTCTTGATCCAGCCAATATAGCTGTGTATGGAAAAGCAAAAAGAGGGAAATGTGTTCCCAGATTTTAAGGGAAGAACCAAATCTTTCTCCTTGCAGGAAGTTTCTGACCCCTGAAGACAAGGCCAGCATATTCACCATGGACCACTTCCCTCTGTGGTACCGCCAGGCCGCTGAGCAACCTGCTGGCAGCTTTGTATTCAACCTCCATTCTGCAGAGGAGCCAGGTAATCCACACCCTGTGCTGCTGGGCCAGGTGGGACCAGGGCGTTCCTCCTCCTCCTGTGCTCTTAGTGATATAAAGCAGGACGTCCAGACCTCAGGGTTCCCTCCTACCTTCCTCTTGGCACATGGTAGCAATTTGAGAAAGCTCACCGGGGCCTTACCACACATCTTGTGACTACCCCGCTTATAGGATGGGCCATTGTATTCCCTGGCCAGCAGTCACAGTTGGCTGTTAAAAATCCATCATGGAACAAAGGAAAGAGATCTAACCAAAAGTCAAGAAGAGCTGGATTCTAGCCCAAATTCCAAATAGAAGTATATTGGACAAGTTAATCTCTAAGATTGTTCTATTTCCAAACATCTGAGTATCCTTGAAAGTTCTTTAAACCACCCAGGTGAAAGTAATACTTTATTCCACTGGGCACGGCCCATACTTGCTGAGGCCACTGCCCTCCACAGCTCTCCTTCTCCTAAAACAGGGGAAGCAGCCTGGGCTCTGCTCCCTGGAGTTTCCCAGGGGCAGCAACACTGAGCTCCTGGCCTGCGCCTCAGAAATTTCCTGTAATAATGGGGTGCTTCCCACTGGCAGACCACAATGGGTCTGGGGCTTGAAAAATCGGAGGTGGGGCAGCCAAGGCCAGGCCCCATGGACCAAGCCAGCAAACCCTTACTAGTCTAAGGACCAGGAAGGTTTTCAGAGCTGTAGACACCCAACTTCCCCAGCCCCCACTCTGAAAAATGGCCCCAAAAGGAAAAATTAAGTGACTTTAACAGAGTACCAACAAAATAGTAGAATGTTTAGAACAGAGAGGAGCTTTGGAGGGCACACAGCCTCACACTCTTGACTTACACATGAAGAGACTGACCTACAGAGGTGGAAGGCCTTGTCCAGGGGTCCAAGAGTTTGAGCAGAGCAAGCTCTCCACAAGGTCACCTCTGGGGAGGCTAATCCCATCGCAGGAGAGCAAGAGGGCCTAGAAAGTATCCACACCAAGGTCAGAGCTGAGGAGAAGGGACAGAAGGAGGAGAGGGGAGGACTGAAAACATGTGAAAGGAGAGGGGCAGGCTGGGAGCAGACTGAAATGAAAGGTTGCACTTCCCCTTCAAGATGTCTCCAACCCAAACCCTTCTGGCCATCATTTCCACCATAGCCGTCCTCCGGCTTCCTGATGGAGAAATGCCCCCAGCTGACAGCCAGGGAGGCCCAGGCTCCCCTGGGCTCCTCCGGAGCTGCCACAGTAAGAAGGCAGTCACCTCTGTGTCTTTTGGATGCCTTTTTCTCCTTATACTTAAGTCTGCCTCTCCATCCTGTGCCTGTTCCTTTCACCTGAGGTATTACTAACTTAATTTACAAAACTCCTTACTACACATAAACACTTAATCTGCACAACCTTATAAGGTAAGTGCTGTTATCACACCTCTTATTATACAGGGAAAATCTGAGGCTTAGAAAAGTTCTGTGTCTTGCCCGGGGTCACACAGCAAGAGAACCACAGAGCCCAGCCTAAAACCAAGGTCTGCCCACAGAAGTCCTGGCTCTTTTACTGCACCAAGTGGAAGGCAAGAAGGGGGTGGGGTCAATAGGGAGTGCGGTTGCTCCTGGTGAAAGCTCAGAGGGAGGTTCTCAAAGCCAAGGTGAAGGTCTGCCTCCCACACTGCCCACCCTGAGCCAGAATGAGGCAGCTCCTTCTTCCTGGCACCATCTACAGCACCACCAAGGGCTCCCTGAAAAGGGGCTCTCACAGGGTTTGGGGGACATTCTCTGGCCCCTGGCCCCAGCCCAGGATGATACTCTCTGCTGCCAGCATTGTCACTGGGAGGCTCCTGCTGGTTGCTGGGGGAGCTTTTTGTGGTAGGAGGGTGGGTGGGTGTGAACTGAGCCACATGAAGGGAGGGAAGCTGGCAACCCAAAAACAGGGCCAATTGAGTTGGGAGGCAGGAGCTCACTCCTTTTTCACACCCTTGCTCATGCATATGTTTAGAGACACGTGGACACCTCTGCACACGCCCATTCTCCACCAAAGAAAGAAAGCAACAATTTTATTTTAAGGGAAGGAGGAGCCCCAAGGAGGCAGAGGAGTCTGCTTGGGGATATAAAGGCTTCCCTCTGCCTCTCGGTGCTGACTCTACTGCCCTTTGACTGGGCCTAGTGGGTTGAGCCTGCCCGCAGCTCTGTCTTTTGTCAGTGCCTAAGAAACTCACTAGCATGGAGCAAAGTCTCTCAGGCTGCCCCAGGCCTGCTCCACCAGCAAGTGGTAGCCCACTCATTCACTCCAAGTGCTGGACCAAGTAGCTGCTAGGTGACCCACGTGCTGACACTCCTGATGTCCCCAGAGACTGTCATTATGGTCCCCATATCTTCATGTGGATGTTTCCCACAGCCTATGGAGCATACATACAATGGAAGGTCTTTCTGGGAAAGTAGCCTGAGGGCCTGGAGAAAACCACAGGGGGTCAGCCACCTCAGTGTCTTCCAGAAATTTCTAGAAGCAAGGTGACAAAGCCTACTTCTTTATCTATTGTGGTCCCTTGCAGTTTCTTCATGGCAAATTCCTACAATCAAGACAACTTCACACATTTCAGATTCTTGGAATCTGAGTAATTTTAAAATTCTGCGGGTTTTGTGATTATAGCAAGGTGGGATGGGCAATCTTAGCAAAATAGCAGATAAGAGAAACCAGTGGTTGATTTAACTTCCATTTCAAATGACATGGTAAGAACAACCAATGCACAACAAGATTCTCATGACCTGTTTGTTTCAACGTTTCTCATAATAACATTTTAACAGGAAGCACATGATCAAATTTTGCCTCTTTCCTGGAACGTTTAGTACTGAAATTTGATCTGTAGATATGAGTGCTCTGTGAAGCTAATCCAGGCCCATGAATGGGTGAGAATTAAGAAGCCAAGGTCATGTACTAGCCTGTACCAGCTCAGACCCAGAAGCTCTGTTTAATGTAGAGCTGAAACTGCCACCCACATGCTGTACCTTCAGTGACCTGATTCCTAAAAGAGGCAGAAAAGCAACTCAAGGAAAGTCCCTTGCCCTTCAGGAGCCTGGCAGGTGTCCTAGAAGAGCAGGATCTGACTGCAAAGCCAGGGAAAGACATGACTGGACGGTGGTGTGGTGGTAGTGAGTGGGCTACCAACAACCAGGATTTACAAAGGGCCTCAGATGTGTAGGCTCCAGCCGGTCAGCCTTCTGTGCCCTCGGCAGCCCCAAGAGCTAGCTTCCTGAAGGGACTGTCAGGGTCTCCCTGACTCATGTGACTTATAAAGGACAATCCAGGATCTGCTACTACTCTGTGTCCAGAGGCACAGCCTGTCCTTTTTCTAGAATGAGTCATATGATGCAACACAACTCTTCTGGTTGGAAGCTGTGTCAAGAGAACAGTCACAGCAGGGTCCCCGAGCTCACATAAACAGCAAGCAGACAGATTCACTGCCAGAGACAGAGAAAACTCAGTGTCCTAGTGACACTGGCAGTACTGCGTTGTTCAGGTGGGCTGGGGCCACAACATACACCTATTTATCTATCAGGTTCAGATCTGCACAGAGAGGGGACAGCGCCTGGGCCTCAGGAGGCACTTGGCCAAGATCAAGGTTGGTGGTGGCAGAGCCGTCACAGCAACAACTTCCTCAAACACCCCCTCGGTGATCCAAGGATGTCCTCACCTAGTATTTATACTTATCTGCTTGGCCAACCCCAAACACTGCTCTTCTCCAGCTGCTGAGAAAGTGACTAGGCAACTTTTGTTTCCCCAGAAGGTCCGGGTGAGCCAGTGGTGGTAACAGCAAGCACAGCTGTAGCTGTGACTGTGGACAAGAAAACAGCCATTGCTGCAGGTAGGGGCTGCCCTTTGTCCCACTGAGGCTGGGAAGTTGTAAGTCAATGTCAAGAATAAGGCACATGGTAATAGCAGGAGGACTTCTGCCTATGGTCTGCATGGGTCACAGTCCTTGGCTGTAAGTTTTCCCAGGTGAGGGTAGTGGGGTCTTCCCAAGCAATTTTGTTTATAAAACAGTAAAATCTTAGATCTAAAAGAGTTTGTGAAATGAGTAAAATGAAGCCCAGAGAGGTTAAGAGTTCTGCTGAAGGTCACACAGGACAGAGACTGCAACCCAGAACTCCTTTCCACCCCTCAGCATGCTGCTTCCCTCTTCTACCACCTTGGGTATAGTATCCCTCTGAAGAAAGAATGGGGCTGTGACTCAAATCCTAAAATAAGAACTCTGTATGTGTGCTCAGCATGTGCCAGACACTAGGAATCTGCCTGTCATGCATGTTTTCATTCAGCCCTGGGAAGCCAAAATCCAGTGAATCCAAGACTTTTGGCTCCATTTGACAGATGAAGAAACTGAGACACAGAACAGTTATTTGCCCAGTCTTACAGCTAATGATTGATGAAGCTAGAATTTAAACTCAGATCACCTCTCATAAGGCCTGGGTTCACTATCCTGTGTTACCATTTGCCTCAAATGTGGTGAGAGCACCCAATGACTCTCACAAGCTCCCTTGGCTTTGTAGTTTCTTGGCTTTGTAGTGCCTCAAAAAACCTTGGGCATCTCTGTCTTGTTATCTGAGAGCTATCAGGCCTGAATGATGAAGCCTCCTTGTCCTGCTTCCCAGGAACCCCTTAGCTTCCCAGGAAGGACTCAGCAGCTAGAGTGGGGCAAGGCGGGCGAGATCTGTGCACCTTCTCTTCTCAGGCTGAATATAAAGTAAAGGGGGTGGATGAACAGGCTGGGCTCAGGCAGAGAGGGTCAGACCCTGCCTCCCTGTCCCAAGGAGGGCCCAGGGGCCTCCTGAGTCAGACTCCTTTCCTCCTGCTTTCCCCCTGGGGAAGAGAGGTAGGGGACAATGACTCGGTCTGATGTTGCTAAGCACCCATGTTAGGAAACACCAGCACCATGGACAGTCTGCAGGATGCACAGCACAGCATTTAGAAGGTACCCAGGCCATTTTGACCACCCCCTTTTTTTTCTTAATTCTAATTCTTAGGCTAATTCTAAACCCATTTCTGGGCCAAATTATGACCCCAAACTTGTCTCCTTAAAGACTGTTCTATGGTCCCAGCTGAGTCTGTGCCTGTCCTTCTCCCTTCACATCATGGGCCTTCTCAGCTCCCACACACCTCAAAGCCTAGGAAAGAGAATGGATACAGGGTCAGGCTGCTGGCTTTGCTATCCTGCACTCTCCAATTACTTGAAATCTTTTTTAACTCAGAGCTGAATTGGAGCTGTAAGGGGTTGCCATAGAAACTGTGTCCTTCCTGGTGCCTCTAGTTTAGTGCACTGCAGACAATCCCTCTGACACTCTGGGGTGCACAGATGTGACAAGAAGAAGATGAGGTACTGGATACCTGATATTTTAATTATTTGGGGAGTCTCCTTTTTTAATTTCCTCCCCCTGGCCTATGGCTCAGCCTCCCTGATCCTGAGGCCTATGGGGGCCTGTAGCTCAAGACAGGGTAGGCATCTTGTTTATTATCCTAGCATGTTCATCCCTTAGAAATTGGTGGCTTTGTGTGTGTGTGAGCTCCAGGATTGGGTGAGCCGGTGCAATTTTATGTACCACAGAGGCCAGCTCCATGTCAGGCAGAGCATGTATAATGCCATGGATTTCTGCAGAAGGGTAGATGAATGAGGAGGGATTATTTTCATCTCTAAGAAAATGATTTATCAACAGTTTTTGCAAAATTTCTATAAATCTAACTTTTAATCAGGATCTATTTTCAATTCTCCATGCCCTGCAAGCCCTCTTTTGGAAATATTGCCAAAAATAATGATGGTGGTACCATAATCTGCTGTATTTCTCTAGCACATATCCTGCAGTGGGCTTGCACACATGCCCCCGACAGAGGCTTTCATGCAGTAGGCCTGCCGTCTGGAGCTACAGGAGGCTCCTCTCCTCAGAGTTCTGCCCCCTAGTGACTGCATCTCGCTGAAGACCTGTGTGCACACTCCAGATGGCAACTTGAATAATGCATCTGTGCATTGTCCAGACTTGTGCCACACTTGTGAGGGGCCCTGTCCTCTGCTTCTGCAGTGGGGCTTGGGGGAGACTTGGCACTCAGGTCTGCTATAACTGTTAGGGCTACAAGAAGGCAACACCCCACAGTCATCACCACCTAGAAAAGGGAACATCCAAGTTCCACCAGGAGTCCAGCTGAGCCCCCAAAACGGGGACCCTGATGGTCTACTTCTCCCTGGGGTTTGCTCCTGGCTCACTGGAGTACCCACCAAAGAAAGGCTGGAAAAGAGACTAATGAACTGTGTAGCCCAGGCCTGGTCAGCCAGAGGCTAGCCAAGGCCTAGAAGAGGGTCACTGGAGCTTGGGGTGGCCAAGAAACCCTAGAGACCCCACTTACTCCCTCATCTCCTCTCCTGGTCCCCCTTTGCCAGCCCCTCAGTCTATAATCCTGACTCCCCTACCTGCTGAGATGGAGAAATCGTATTTGTAGGCCTAGAGTATCATCTGCCTGTCCCTGAAGTCAGTCTTAGAAGTGAAAGATGGTAATAGGAGAAACTGGGTTCCTCCTTCAGGTCAGCAAACCTCCCCAACCCCACTGCAGCTGATAAAGCCCAGTCCACAGGAGAGTCCCCTAATTGTTTGTAGGGAGCACCCCCCACTCCCCATGATACAGGGGAGTCCCTCTGGGCAGATGCATGCCTTCCTGCCACATGGGCCCAATTTGCCCTTGCCTGTCAGAGAGGCTTCACTCAGGGTGGATGAGCACCCACAGGGCACAGAGCAGTAACAGGTCTCACTCATTTCACTGCCACCCAGTGAAACCAGCCTGAGGCCTGTATCCCCACACCAGGCCAGCGCATACTCAGGGACAGGCCCATTCTAACCCAAAACTCAGCCCTTCACTCTCTCCCAGTGGCACCCAAGGCAAGGCCATGGGTGGGAGGCTGCCAGTTGTCTAGGAAGCTCTGAATATTGGGGTGATATCTGGCAGCACTTTGCGTAGCTGCCTGGGAGGTGAGGGGGCAGGCAACCACTCTCCCAGCACCCTCATCCCCTCCCCACCCAAGGAAACCAGGAAGTACATAGGAAAATACAGTCTTTATTGGTCTTCTGAAACAACAAACCAGAAATATAATTTTGCCTTTAAAAATCTTCCATCTCAAGATGAAGATACCACCGTTGACAACATCCACCCTTCTCCACCATTCCCTTTATGCAGTCCCTAGATCTGGTTTCAGCTGGCAAACCAAAAGAAGGAAGACTGTGCCCCCACCCCCGGGGAGGGCATTTAGCAGCCTGTGCTGGGGCTCCCTCTGCACCCGCTTTGATGGAGAATGGTCTTCTCAAAGGCCTTTCTGCTCCCCTCCTATCCTGCCCCCCACTATGCTCTTCTTTGAGATAGAAGGGCTGAGGGATACAAGGGGAGCTGGTCTTGCCCAGTCCTGCCCTGTCCTTCCTCAGACCCTGGGCCCCAGTGTTCTGCAACCTCCTCCTGGGCCACCATTGAGAACCTCCCTCTCAGCCTTAGGGCCAGAACCCAGCCCAATGTCTCCCACCCTCTGTGGGTCATGGGAAAACCAGTGTCTTGTATCAGACTCATGAGGAGGGGCAGACCTAGAAAAAAAAAATAGTGACCCTCGATCCCTGCACAGCCCTCTTCTCACTGCCACTCCCACCACCCTGCAAGCAGGTATCCCTGCCCCTTCAGTGTAGTTTCAGACAAAGAAAAAACACAGCCTGTGGCTCATGCTCTGGTTTGGAGCACAGTCCAGGGGCAATGGCAAACTGGGGAGCCAGACCGAACAGACTGAACAGTAGGAAAGGGCACCCCACCACTGAAGCTGTTGAACAGAGTGCAGCAGTCCTGGCCCTGCTCCTGTGTCTGTGTGGGAGATGTTGGCAGGCAGTGAACTTCAGCAAAAGCTACCTGTTTTCCCAAGATGCCACCAATCACAGAACATGACCAAGGCCCCATCCAAGGTCACAGGCCCAGAGGTTCTGGAGAGGGAGGGTTGAGAGATGCAGAGCAATGGTTCCTGGGCTTCAGGTTACAGGAGTGGAAGTGGTGGGTATCCTCATGGGGCTGGCAGTGATGATGCATTAGGCTCCCTTGGCTCTCAGGAGTCCGCCATCCACAGGTGCTGCAGCTTCAAGGCCTCTGGGCTGGTGTCCCTGGAAAACCCAGCAGGACAGGTGAGAGAGTTACCATGGTGACAGGCAGGCTCATCCACTTGGCCCACTTTAGAGGATCTCAAAGGCATCCTGTATTTTCGGTTTGGATTTCTCCCCCCTGTGGACTTTGAAGAAGATTGCAGTAAAGGAAGCAAAAGTTCTGTGTTCTGAGGGCTAGAGATCCAAGGGGGAAACATGCTTCTGTTCCCTGAGTTCTCATGGCCTCTGTCTCCATGTGACTGTGTGTGTGAATGTGTGTGAGATCTTGTCAATTGATGTGATCTCACCAGTGATGCTATGAGTGTTTGTGAGAGTGAATTAGTGAATCCAGGAGCAGTGCAGTCAGCATGGTCTCTAGCAGATATAGGGACACAATGGCTTCAGCCATGGGAGTGTGTTATAATCACAGCACTGTGCTAGATCCAGAGGTCAGGGTTGGTTTGACTGCACATGAGTATCAGCTCTTGGAAACTGGACTCAACTTTCACACTATGGATGATTAAGAATATTTCGCTGGCTTAGAAGAGAGTCACAGAAATGGACCACTAACTCTCATTACTTCTTCTCCAGCCCTTAAACGCAGATGAGGAGGGCTGAGCAAGAGGTATGGAGAGTCACCTAGCTGTGACTACACCCAGGGCAGGAAGGGGAGTGCTCAGTTCAGAAGCTTCCACTTGCATTCTTTCTTCCCTATGGCCAG